ACTCATAATTACCGTTTGGTAGCTCAGTACTTTGGTGAAGGTAGTTGTTTGTTCCGCAAAAAATACACAATCTAGTCATCCTTAATAATATAGTTTTCTCAGGTGTAGTTATAGCCTTTTGGGGCAGGTCTAAGATCTAACTATTACCTCTCTAAAATTTATTTTTCTTTATATTCATATTATAAAACACTTTTTGAGGATGCGATCATCAACTATCATTGTCTTGTTGTAAGGAGAGAAAGACCGAACGAGCTTCCCGTGGTTAGTCCACCGAACTACAAGATAAGAAATAGTTTGAATGTATCCACCTCAAAATCTAAATAAATAGATATATCTTTTTTTTTTTGTCCTGGCCGTGATCGTCATCCTTGATGTGAGGCGTGTATGAGGAGGAAGGTGACGCAGACTTTCTAAACAACCGAACCACACCGCAGAGAGATTGAATATATCCACCAGAAAAAAATATATATATAAATGTAAATAAAATTAATTTTTGATACAGACATAGGTAGTTGTCTACTGTTTTCCTAATGCTAAATCAGAGTGATATATTTTTTATATTAATATTTTTTTATCTAATTCCGACACAGGTTGAAAAGTGTCAATGTGAAAAAAAATCTACGAAGTATATGCTTCTTTCTCTTCTTTGTAAATATGCATACACAACGTATCTTCCAGTTTCAAATAAAAATAAATCTGATATTTTATTATTATATACTTGTTACAAACCATTATAAGTCATTAAAATTGCTATAAATCGATAAAATTAGTGAAATTGCTACATATATATATTATCACTATACCTGCAAAATGGTTAAAACTAACTACTATAATGGTTTAAATCCTGCCGTATCACAGGCATTAATTAATCTGCAATATAGGTATAGTAATGAAATGCCTGAAATGTGGTGTTCACATATTCATTATCTATTTAGAACACTTCTAGAAAATAACCCAAAATACTTCTCCAAGAATAGATTTATCTATTTGACTGAAAGATCTAGAGATGGGGGATTTATGGTTGAGAAGCGTTTATTTTATATTTATTGCACTGTATGCGACACCTTGGTATTTATCTATGAAAATACTATCAAATGTGCCAATCATCACCTGAATAAATGCATTGCTAAAACAGCTAAAAGACATTTCGCACATTCTAATCCTGTTCAGAAAAAAGGAGGAAGAAGTGTATCATCACTTAGTTCTGATGAGGTTAATGAGATTTTTATGAATTATTCTGTATATCCACAGCATGGTTATCATGTATATAATACGGACAATGGATTTAGAGAGAAAATTGCTTATTCCTTATTTAATAGTGCAAAAATTATCCAACGGGCTTGGAGAGATTACAAGTTGAGATCTAAAACATGGGCGAAACGAATTTGAAATATGGTGAGGAATAATAGTATTCCCGACAATAAAAAATTTTTAGATATTATTCTTCGAAAAATAAAAAATCCTTATACTCGTCAACAACATAATTTACGTAGTGCTAAAATTATTGCTATGATAAATAAAGGATATAATTATCTATTACCAAGAGAGTATAAAGAATATTATCTTCCCGATAACTGGATAGAAAGAAAAAAAGAATAGCTAAATAATCGATTATGTTTTGTATCATATATAGTTGCTTTTATAGAATTATATCGGCAAGGCTATAGAATCGTTAAATATTCGGAATGGACTTATATGTTAAAGTGGCTATCGAATCCCGAATATTACCATATTGTCAAATACCCCAACAATGGCAATGAAAACTTTGTTAGAATTTCAGAATATAGGTGATACATATGTAAAATAGTAGACAAATCATATCCATGTGATTTACTAAAAATTAACTATTTCGAAACTAAATATCTTTATATCCTAGGAGAAGAAATTAACATAGATTTCTCAGATTCGAACAATAATTGTAAGTATGTGCGCTGAATTTTCTGGAGCATGGATTCAATATCAAAATAGATATTATGTATTTATTATAATAATTTATTTTTTTATAGTTGTCCACCATCGATGTGAAATAAAAATCAATGAAGTGTATATTTACTTATGATTTTCTTATCTATGATCAGTAATATAATTAAGCGCTTTGGAAGTTTGTGAACAAACAAATCAAAAATAAATTTTTTCAGAGTGGGGAGTTTTGTAAAATTTTATCTAAAAAATTTTCTGATTACTTTTTTTTCTATTTTCGAATTTATAAGAAAATAGAGAATCTACAATTTGACTAATTCTATTCATTAGCTAAGGCATTTTTTTCCTTCTGCTTCTGCCTTGCCTCTATTTCTTTCTGCAGGTTCAATGGTGTATCAAATCTTAGCCGAATTGCTAGAGGATCATCCTCTGACCTAGTGAGATCAAATACAACAAACTTACCTTTGTGGAGGTAGCTATTAATAACCATGGATGTGCCCTTTACATCATCAGTATATTGTCCAACAATCTTAGATATGTCTTGAATACTGCTACCAGAGTTAAATAATATTAAATGAGTTGAGTTTTCACAAATGAATATATCGACTTTATGATATTTTTGTATTACATATATACATGAAATATTTTAGTGATATCCATTCCCAAAAAACTGACCAATTCGATTTTGTATATGTTCTGGAGCTAAACATAGATCCTCAATAATAATTAACTTGCTTCTTTCAGGTGAGAAAGTTTTTGTACTAAGAATTTTTTCAGAAGAAATGTAACTGAAACTAATATCCTCATAGTAAGGTGCTCTTGGGTCTTTTGAAATTAGATTATATATATATCTCACATATGCCCATTTTGGCTCATTAGGATGATACCTGCAAATAATTAGATCGTCACATTTAATATAGTGAGACCCATCCTTTTTCTCTCTTTGCACATATTCATCCTTATTACCAAGAACAAGATTCACAAGTAAATTAGTCTTATCTGTACCACTCCTCCTACTGACTAGCATACTGAAAGGCCATATCATCGCCGAATGACCAATATTTTAGGATGATTCATGCTTTGTGACTTTATCCATATCCAAAAGATGAAGTTTCATAAGAGGTATTTCTGTCTTTGAATTTTTCTGCATAACGGATTGGATATCTATAACTTTGTTTTCTATAAATTGGATAAAAAATTTCTTTCTTTTTGATTGAGTAACAAATTTGCCTATATATATACGATATAATTAATATTACTACTAAGGCTAAAATAACAAGTGGAATTATATACTAATCATTAAGTAAAGCATTGCCGACCCTTAATATAACAATAGGTAAGGCTTGAATATTATCGAGTTTCTCTTTCTGCTTATTGCAAACATGGTCTATCAGGGGCTCTACCACATCTTTTACTTTACTTTCATTAGGCTCAAGCCCTGAGTGATGTGAAGACAAAGAGGGGGTCTTAGAGAAACTGGATACCTCTTCTTTAGCATCGCCACCTGTTTTTGAATCATTAAATGATAGATCTGGTTTTAAAGAGATTTCTTCTACTGCATCACCACCCATTTTTGAATTATTAGATGACAGGTCTGGTTTTAGAGAAATTTGTTCTAGTTCATCTTCTAGATCACTTACTCTAGACCTGAGGCAGAAAATTAATCCATCTTTAAATATTGAATTTCACATAACTTGCTCTAGTTTGTTTTTTAATTCCTTCACTCTAATCTCATGAAGAGACTGGGTAGTATCGGTATTCTTTAATAAAGCTTTTTGCACTATTTGTTCTAACTCAGCCTTTAGTTTATTTATTCTAGCCTCAAGAGAAGAAATTTCAGAATCCTTTAAAAATGAAGCTTTTTGTACTAAAGATAGTGAGCTTTCTAGTAAATTAATCTTAGACTTTAGTGATTCTATTTCTTTTAACTATTTGGCATTAAGATCAGCACGAAACTTTCATTTACAAGTAATTTGGGCTATAAGCTTATTATTCACATTATTTAGTTGCTTAGTTAGAGAGACAATTTGATTTATAGAAATTTGCATATGCTCTTTTTCTTCATATAAGTGATTTAGATCATTTTGCATACACTTATTTTTTTCATACAAGTGATCTAGATCATTTTGAATACACTTAACTAGCACAAGATCCTCTTTTTGTTTTAAATATATGCCCTGGAGGTCTTTATATTCATTAGCAATATCAGAAGCAGTTTTGATGCTACTGCATAATGCTTTCTCAAGTTTTGATTTATGAATGCTACCAAGTCGATGACCTGGCCCCTCCAGAATCTTTCTATTCTTAGTATCTCTTAAGGTATGTATATTGAACATATTTTTTTTTCAACTTAGTTATAAATATATTTAAAAAATTTATGAGTGAAATTCTTCATTGATATCCTTATTAATAGCTGAAAATAAATTAAATAGTGAATAACTATTATTAATAATATCTATAATTTACAAACTATCGATTATCATATATATAGTAGAACTATGACTAGATATTTAAGATCTGATGCATCTCTGTTTTCTCCTGAAGATTATTCTTATATTATGCAGTGTCGTAATATAAAACTGAGGTATAAAATTTTAAATGAATTGATGAGTAAGTATAAAACATCATCAAAGCATATTTATCAAATATGGAGAGGGCAAGAACATTCTATTAACCCTACACAAAATATGTTTTCTTCGAATCAGACTTAAATAACTAAAAATTCAACAGTAGGAAAAAAGAATCTTATAACCAAAACCCTTATTGATTTAAGTACTGATTTGCCAATAGATAACACAGTGCCCAATAAAGATAAGAAATCGTCTGATACAATGTCTCTATATTCTCAGATTAAATCTCACAATATCCAGCCTTCTATTAAATCACGAGATATGGTAAGTTTTTATTGTATTGCTTGTGGTCATACCAATTAAATATTGACTGAAGATATTAATCAAATACTAATCAAAAAGAATAGCAAATTGAATAATGATTAGATATTAACCGATATATCTAAATTGAATTTTCACTGAAATAGGATCGGATGTTAACCGAATGGTTCAGAAACACCGAAATAGGATCAGATATTAACCGAATGGTTCAGAAACACTGAACAGGGATTGGATATATATCAAAACAGTATTGAATTTTTTTTAAATTATTATCTAAATATTTTTTATTTTAAATATATCATGTTACAGAATTCAGAAAAAAAAGTTCGATATCTGCGATCTGATGCAACTTCTTTATCTGATGATAATATACAAGATATCATTAATACTAGAAATTCAATGAAACGTGCATCAGAAGCTATGGCAAGCAAATACAAAATATCAACAAGGTGTGTATATCAAATATGGAGAGGGAATCATCCACTAATAGATTCTAGAGAAGAGGCATTGCGATCAAATATTAATATATTTAGCTTAAGTGAAGATTCCAATCATGATGCTAATAAATTCGATTCTGCCTTCATAGCATAGGAAAACAAGATACATGATACTAAAATTAGCAAATCTACTGATTCAGCTTTGGAAGAGGATGTTGTTTTAGATAGTAAGGTGAAAAAGACTGGAGAAAGAAAATCGAGAACTGAAACTGTTCGCGTTTCTGATTTTATTTCATCTACTGAATCTTCTGAAGATGTCTTGGATTTGTATAAGAGAACTAGTTCTGAAATAGAAAAAATTAGAGTATCTGGTCGTGCTCTTGTTTTTAAATAATTATTCAACCTTATTTGGTCCTAGAGAAATCTTTTCATATCAGTCAAGCAAATTATTATAGTATTCTATGATTTCCAAATTCAATTGAATGCTAGAAAATAATGCCTTTTCAAGCTCTTTCATATGAATTATCATATCTCCATAATCTATACAATTTACACACTTTTTTTAAATCATCCTCACTAGTTAGGCTAGAGGAATTGGTGGATACTTGGGCTGAATCATGCGTGGAGGATTCCTGAGGGACTACCTTCTGCTTCTCTTTTGGCGGATCCTTAGCTACTGGGGCCTTACTATATATTGGAATAACATAGGTCTTCCCATGTAACTTTATGTGGAACTGGTTTTTATTTGGCTCAGGAACACCTTGGAGCTTTCGAATATTTGACATACCTAAAAATAGCATTAGTTCAGGTTCGCCATTATCTATACATACAAAATTTCTAATAACTGTGACTGTCTCATCCTCTTTGTCTTTCATAGTAACTGGTACATCTGTGTACCATCCTAATGAATCGGTGATATGCCTAGAATTGCCCTTTATAGCAAAATCAGATGGCTTATCAGCCTTCTATCCAAGCATCTTAATTGCCAGGTCATTTATACCACCAAATTTACTTCCCAGATCTAAAAAAGATTCAGAAATCGCTAAATCATTTATATTTATATTCAGATATTGTAGAGAAGAAAACTACTCATCTGATTCCTTTTCCTGAGCCTTTCGGGACAAGCACATTTTACGCATTGCCGGTAAAGTTTTGGCAACAGCTCATCATACGTTTCGGGCTGGCTGTATTTTGCTAGTATCTGTTTTTTTTTTTAGTGGATAATACCCGGTTCATTTATTATTTTCTTCATCATAACCACCATTATTATCTTCCTTATTATCTGAAGCTGGAGATGTGTATTGAGACTGTGTAGATGGAAGTTGGGAATAGTAACGTGTAAAATTTGATTTAGCTACAAGTTTTTTGTATTGATTATCAAGCATCATCCTCCTGAATTGAGATATCATTTGACCGATTTTATCTACTTTCAATTCTATTCTATTCATTCTCGCAGATTGGTTTTGTTGCTAAGGGCGAGGTCTTTGAAAAGGTTTTATAGAATAATCTAAATCTAATTCATTCTTACTTATTAAACCTAATTTATTTAAGAATTTAGATATATAATAATTCTGAAGATTTTCTTCCAATTGCAATGATGATGGAGGACCTCTTGGCTGTCTAACTGGTTCAACAGTTTGTGGAGCTGATGCCTGTGCTTTTTGGACAACTGTTTGCTAGGCTATCTGTACTTGAAAATTAGCTTTCTGCTTTTCCAATAAAGACTAAAATTCAGTTTTTTGCTGTGCTAATGCATCTTGATAGGATTTTTGTATATCTGCTATCTGTTGAGAAGTTAAAATAGGTGAAGAGTCATATATTTCTCGAGATGCTCATTGAGATACTAGCAGATTAGGTATTCTATCTCTTTTATATCTAGCAATTCGTCGTAACTCTATCTCATAAAGCTTTTTAGCTAATTCATCTAATGGCAAATATTCACCAATATTCTCAGCTTTTTCAAGCCATGGAATAGGAAGGGTATCCAAGAACTTATTATGTAATCCTTCGGGCCTATAGTTAGCTCGTCTACCTATTTATAACAATTTTCTATATAATTTATCTATAGTCATATTTTCTTTTTTAATTGTTCTATATTGCAAATCCCGAAGCGCCTTTTCCACTATAGGAAAATGTGTTTTTAGCCACCATATGGCTTGACTGAAACGAATGCTAGCTACAACTACTGTAGTACTATTATTAGCATTTGGTGCATTAATAGCAATGTTAGTAGGACGACCATCTGCTATATGCCAATCTTCATCCCAAGGACCCTCTACAGCTCTTAATTTAACTATTGCATTACCAGATTGGCCGAGTGCCTCATT